GGGGGGGTCCAGAGGTCACTCATTCGTCCTATCTGCCATCAGTGACCCCTGGGCTGGGCTCTGGCTGATTCTGCTCAGAGTCTCCCGGCGTCTGAGTGTACATAACACCGGAGCCCCCTGGGTGTAACATTCCTCTCCGGGTCCTGTAACCCTCTGGTACTGCTGTGCACACTCAGGGGCCACGAGACCGCTTCACAACATCTGTTCTTCTCCGATCCCTTGTGGAACAAACGCAGGACAAGCCATTGCTCCGAGGCCGAGATGATGATGTCATCAGTCTGCTGCAGGCAGGGGTCATCTTTGTGCGCCCTTCAGGGCCTAACTTCCCTGAATTGAGTTAAGCCCCACCCACCTGCAGCCTCTCGGTCCAATGAGAGCGCCTCTGTGGGCAACAAGAGTGCCGTCACCTTTTACAAACCAACAAGGGGCATGCAAAGACTGGCTAATGACAATCCTGGAGCTCCAGTCCAGTGACTCGGCCGAGATAATGTAATTAGTCTGCTGCAGGGAGGAGGAAGCATTTCCTCAGTCTCCCTTCCTCCCCCAGTGATCAGACTGCTGCAGGCACGGGGAAGCATTTCCTCAGTCTCCCCTCCCCCAGTGATCAGACTGCTGCAGGCAGGGCATTTCCTCAGTCTCCCCTCCCCCAGTGATCAGTCTTCTGCAGGCAGGAGGAAGCAGTTCCTCAGTCTCCCCTCACCCAGTGATCAGTCTGCTGCAGGCAGGGGGAAGCATTTCCTCAGACTCCCCTCCCCCCAGTCATCAGTCTCCCCTATATGGTTGTCTCATCTCTGAGCCGGCACCTCAGTTCAGGAAGTAGATGGTGACCCCGGATGATACCTGAACAAAGATGGCGCCGTCCTCCTGCAAACATCATATCGGGTGCCATCAGGAAACAGATGTACAGTACTTGGGAGGTCGGCCTCCTCATCACGCGCGCCACGTCTCGCCGCGGCCAACAAACGCCATTTCCTCGGATCCTCTTTGGATTGCATTTAATCTTTTTGTATTTTTCATTCCTCTTTACAAGTATTATAAATTGCGTTACATTACTAACATTTCGCTTTGCTGAGACATATTTACATTCAGTTTAAAAAAGAAAAATGGAATAAATAAATAAGTTAAAAATAAATAAGAGGGGGAGGGGGCTAGGTGTCTGAGGGGGTGGGGCTCTAGAAGGG